ATGTTTTTGTGCTGAGTAGAGGCTTGAATTGTCTAACGGATTGTGCAGTTCTGCAGTTCTTGGCAGCTTTTCGAAAACAGCGTTCATAGCAGGCGCATTGTTGAAGGCGCGGAATCCACAACTAGGATTATACAATTTTCGATTCATTCGACTTTGTACTCGGCCCGGAGTTAGCAATTTCGTGAGATCACAGAGTCCATCAAGGCTGCAGAGTTAGTCATATCATGGTCTCATATTTTATCCGAGTCGCAGATTCCGCGCATTCGTCACCCATCGCCGTCAGCTGTAACCGCTGCCGAGCCTCTGAAATTCATTCACTGTGGAGGATTCCTTTTGTTTTTTGCTATCAGATATTATGTAAATTTTTTTGTTCTTGACGTCAACAGCTTGGTCTGACACCAATGTTATGCTGACAGCGACCGAAAGAAGGCCATCAGAGAACGTTCTTATTCTATCTACCTTAAAAGTCTTCAGATTACTAAACGTGCACATGGATCATTGTGTAGGCTTTTTCTTCTGAATCATTCACAGTTTGAAGAAATGGAGCTTAACAATCGGTTCCTTAACTAGTTTCATGTCCGGAAATCCGCTGAAATGCCTGCTACCAAGATCAGTGCGTATCGATTTGCTCAAGTCGCGTTGACATGCACCACGCCGATCGCGTAAATGCGGAATGGGTGGAAAGTAGAGAATGCGCACAATTTCTACAGTGAGCGCTGGACCAACTGAGTCTACACGTATCTGATCTTGGTAGAACCTTCTGTGGATTCCGCGCCTTCCACGCATGCCATAGCAGTGAATAGTGCCCAAAGCTGATGCCATACTTTGCGATTCAAGCAATCGCTAGCGTTCGCAGTCGCCCGCGGCCAGTCGCTTGGTTGGCTGGTACCGCAACGCGACCGCGAACTTAGCGAATCGCTCGATTTGCAAAGTCTGACATCGATCCAAAAGCTCTCGACTAGCGCAGTGAAGGTGGAGTTCTCTCTGCAGCTCACTGAAAGCAAAGGTGCTGAGCATTCCAAGACCTGATAATTATGCGCTTTAATGCGTTCGACATTGAAGGCAGTCGATCGTAGAGCAATCCTTTCTCTCGGATGAATACCATAGCGAGCATTTTTCCCATGCAGGGTGATTTCTCGCGTTGGATTTCTCCAGAAAAAGTTGGCTAAACGAGTGGGTAGAGGAATTTTATCGTCAGCTGTGAGGAGTGCGTTGCACTTTACGGCTGCACACTCTCGGCAGTTGTTTTTCTGGAGTCGTCGAACGCAGTTCCCTAAAGATTGCACTCGGGCACGATTGCCTTCTGCCGCGGTAATGTCAATTACCTTGACTCACCTTGACCCTGTCGAAAAGATTCGCGCATTCGTTTTGTGGTGTTCCTTTTTTTCTCTGAATTAATTTTCGTAGTAGTTGTGCACACGTTTTTGCCTTCACCTACTTTTGGTCGGGTTCAGGCAACTCATTCCAAGAGGTTTCAGTCACAATCAGTTCGAGGCTGTTTTATTATGGACACAGAATAGCAGAAGTCAGCAGAAGTTCTGACTTACTTCGTTCAGTGAGCACATTCTATTTATCTAATTTGACGTTTATTTCTCCGATTATCAATCTAACCATAAGTCGATATTTTGATGAAAGTGCTTGTTTCGATCTTTCCGTCGACCTTATCTTGCTGATAACTTCGGTCTGTTCTGTCACCTTACTTCCAACAATTTTATGTTGCATCGCAATATAATGTTAATTTGCTTTCATCACTCAACTTATCTCAGCTGATTGAACACATCACCAAGGAGTATCGATTTTACGCGCCTAAAATCATAAATGTACTGATTACTCATATGCACGTTGGAGAAACGTGAGTAGTAAATGCATCTTTCTTTGTTTTCTATGCTGTTCCAAGTACAGAAGATAAAAGTAGGACGAACATTTTTCAATCCCCTTTCTTTAGGATAGCTAGAACATTTTTTCACAGCGCAGTTATACCCACATATCCACGTTAGTGTGAGTTTCCTAGGTCTTTGATTTGCTTCTATGGCCAGTTTACATGAGAAAGCTGGCGTTCCAGCCCGATAGGTTAGTCATTCTCACGAGTCTTTTATGACCACCATGGTCCTAAGCCATCCATGAATGAATTCATTGCAAGAGGGGGAATTCGACTTTGTTTTCCTAAAGGGTTTTATAGAACCGCGGCGTGTTCATTCCCGAGTACCTATGTCTCTGCGGGACTGGCGCTCGCTAAGGGTTAATTTAAGTGCATGTGTAGGGAGAGACTTGAGCTGGTTCCAAATGTTTTGAAGTGTTCTTCTCATCATAAGTATGCAGTCGCATCACTTGAACGCTCCTCGCTTATTTTCTGCACTCCACATTTCGGGAACAATATTAGAAACAGCGAAGCGTCCTTTCAGCTAAGTTCTTAGTATTTATTGCGATATTTATAACATTGCTGCCTTACGTTTCGCGGTCTCTATGTTAAACAACAACAGTCGGCGCAGGTAGACAGCGCTAGCTGTTAGGCCCACGAGACCAAAGGCGCGGCCGTGCTAATCAACCTTTGTGCTAGAAGCGCTGTCAGCTTCATCTTGGATCTGCGTTTCTTAGAAGGTAAAAGCGATCGAAACGTAAAACAATGACGGACGCCATATTGACGGTCGTGTAAGACAATTAATACTCGTGGTTAGAGCGAGTTGCCACGACGTTCAGGGTCTTTGCCACGAGTCAAAGCCTGCCAACAAGTAGTCAGGGACCTTGCAAAGTGAACCTAAATGAAAGAGATAAGTGTAAAGTTAATGAACAGATCCCCCTAGAAAGTAGTTGAACCAAGGAGCAAGCCAAATTCAGAAAACTCGTATCGGGGCGCGGCCACATTTTTTCAATCCCGTATAGGAAGAAAGGGCTTACGCTCCTGGTCGAGGCGCAAACCTTATGTACAAAGAGGTCTAGCATACAGAACGTACCATCATTTACCTTGCTACCTGCTCAATAAATACCTCCTTATAATCTATTGTCTCATATCTATCAATTCCACTGAACCACCGCAAGGTGATCTTGAAACAGTCCGCCATAACCCAAAGTCTCTAGTCACCTGCAACAGTTCGAGGTGGTGAGCGCTTCGTCGGTGATTTCCTTTGTTTTTTTGTTTATGGACAACTCAGCATCCAAACTTTCATCATGGGCTGCTGTTACCCTACCGATTTGATTGGGGCTTGTTGCTTTTAACTTCAGATTGGCCTCTGTACGTTGACCGCTTACCATTCATCGTTCCATATGAAATCATCACAGCGCATGATTCATCTACTGTATAGTCGTTGAATCATGTTTTATGTGGTCAGCAGGGCAATGGTGCGTTGGAATTGGATTTGGTTGCAGGTGCAGATGGCTCAGTTCTGCGCCATGAATGACCAAAGAATATTCACTAATTTGTCGTGATAGTTTGTCGGAGCTCGTGAACGTAATTCGCTTTCAATAGATTTATCCCATCTGTTGAAATGCTGCCAGAGCTTTGTTGGTTCCGCGACAAATGTTTTGGTCTTCGATTTGAATAGCTTATGTTATCGACAAAATGATTGCCGTCTTATCGCACATCTCGGCGTTAATACTCGACGTATGAGAGCGCTCAACTGGTTTGTTTATTTGTCTAAAAGATCTATCTATCTACCTGTTCTCTCTGTGAATGTATAGGTCAAGGGCTCAAAGATGTTCTAGAACACAATATTTTTGTGCGAATAACTTCGTACCGAGGCTGAAGAGTTATAGTGGCGAGTAGCGTTGCTTGCCATACGCACGGTCTGGAGATCAAATCCTGGATAGCCGCCCAGCGTACGATTCCTTCAGTTTCGGCTTATTGGTACCAGATTCAAGCGATAGGAAAAACATTTATTTGTTTATCGAATGGCCCACGCAAACATTTGATGGACCAAGCTGCTCAAAATGCTACTGAGATCCCAAATGGAAGCAGAATGCGTGGCGCATCCCGGAAAGGGAATGATCAGCGCCAGATGCTTTGTTCTTCCAATCGCATACCAATACGGTATGAACGGATTGTTTTACGTTCAAAAGGCTAGAATATCCCTAAAGTAGGCTTCTATACTAGAAAGGGACTCGTGGAAAAACCACTAGGCCAGGTCACATCCCGGACCATCTGACACGGGATCTGCCGAAAGTATGACAGTTTTGCTCAGATAGATATTC